ACGCTATGCTGACCAATTGGAAAATTAGCCCGGGCTGAATCAAAGCGGAATTAGCTAAGAGCACCCGAGCAATGACCGGGAAATGCAGGGCGAGGTTTACGTGGTTGCATGCATTGACCAGCCTCACATATATAAAGATGCTGCTTGCGCTTCTTGTCATCATATCCATGTCCCTGGCATCAGTCTAGCTCAGCACCCTGCAGCCTGCACTTGTCCACACGATCTTTGCTTGTTGTCATACAGAGGGCCGATAGCATGGGGTTCGTGTACCGAATCGCGAGCCCGTCGGAGTACCTGGCCATCACCGGGTACGGCGTGGACGATGTGAAGCTGGCGAAGAAGGCGTGGATCGCGCCGGGGCAGCGGTGCGCGCGCTTCGACATCTCCCCGGTGAACTACACCTTCGAGGTGCAGGCGATGAGCGCCGAGAAGCTCCCCTTCGTGCTCCCCGCCGTCTTCACCATCGGCCCGCGCGCCGACGACGTCGAGAGCCTGCTCCGCTACGCCAAGCTCATCTCCCCGCACGACAAGCTCTCCCGCCACGTCAACGAGCTGGTCAGGGGCGTGATCGAGGGCGAGACGCGCGTGCTGGCCGCGTCCATGACCATGGAGCAGATCTTCCACGGCACCAAGTCGTTCAAGCAGGCCGTGTTCGAGAGCGTGCAGCTGGAGCTCAACCAGTTCGGCCTCATCATCTACAACGCCAACGTGAAGCAGCTCGTGGACGTGCCCGGGCATGAGTACTTCTCCTACCTCGGCCAGAAGACGCAGCAGGAGGCCGTCAACCAGGCCAAGGTGGACGTGGCCGAGGCGCGCATGAAGGGCGAGGTCGGCGCCAAGGAGCGGGAGGGCATGACGCGCCAGAACGCCGCCAAGGTGGACGCCGAGACCAAGGTGTACACGGTGAAGCGCCAGGGGGAGGGCTCCAAGGAGGAGGCCAGGGTGACGGCGGAGGTGAGGGTGTTCAGGAACGAGAGGGACGCCGAGGTGGCGCAGGCCGACGCGGAGCTGGCCATGAAGAAGGCCGGTTGAGAGCAGCAGGCGAGGGTGGCGGAGGTGGAGGCGGCCAAGGCCGTCGCCATACGCGACGCGTAGCTGCAGGTGCAGGTGGAGCGCACCAACGCCGCCAGGCAGACGGAGAAGCTCAAGGCCGAGCACCTCAGCAAGGCCGTCGTGGACTACGAGATGAAGGTGCAGCAGGCCAACTGGGAGCTCTACAACCGGCAGAAGGCGGCGGAGGCGCTGCTGTTCGAGCAGGAGAGGCAGGCGGAGGCGCGCCGCGCGACGGCGGACGCGGAGTTCTTCGCGCGGCAGCGGGAGGCCGAGGCCGAACTCTACGCCAAGCGCAAGGAGGCCGAGGGGCTGGCGGCCATGGGAGAGGCCCAGAGCGTGTACCTGTCCTCCATGCTCGGCGCGCTCGGCGGCAGCTACGGCGCGCTCCGCGACTACCTCATGATCAGCTCAGGCGTGTATCAGGAGATGGCACGCATCAACGCCGACGCCATCAAGGGGCTCGAGCCCAAGATCAGCGTGTGGAGCAACGGCTCTGCTTCCGAGGGTGGTGACGGCGCCATGAAGGAGATGGCTGGGGTGTACAGGATGCTCCCGCCGCTGCTAACGACGGTCCACGAGCAGACTGGGATGCTACCGCCGGCGTGGATGGGCACCCTCAAGGGAGGCACCTCCACGTCCACCTGAGCTTGCCACGAAGGTTTAAGTACGTGCAGTCGTGCACCGTATATATGCGCCAGTGTGATTGTGAACGCGTGTTTTATTTACTTCGGAAAACATGTACTACTCCTTGATTTGCTGGTGAATAAACCAAAGATGTGTCTATCTCTCATTTAAATGAAAAATAACTATGTCAATCTCGTCTGCGATCACGTCCAGAATACAATCTGGAGATGACCCAAGCCACACCTTATAAAGCTAACTTATGCACGGCAACATTTGCAGAACGCCTCGCCCACGAAACACGAAAATCCTCGAAAGTTCGCAACATGGTCTTGATCTCCTCCACCCATGATCCTGTCGCTGCCAAGATCCTCTCCGGGCTATTGATCATTTGCACTAGAGCCTGGCTGTCCAGCTCTAGGTGAATCCTGTGAACATTGATCTCCGCAGCTACCAAAAGAGCTCTCTTACACATTTTTATCTCGGCAGCCTCGGCCTCCACAACATGAGGGAAGAAGTGGCACGCTCCTGCAAGAAAAGCACCGTTATAGTTTCGAAGCACCACGCCTCCTCCACTCTTGCCTCCGAATTTGGATGTAGCTTCGTCAGTGTTGGCCTTGACCCACCCCTCCTTCGGTGCCGTCCATCGCTGCACAACAGGGGATTTGGTCGCCGGGGCTGGCCTCTCATGAACCTCCCGCCATTCTCTCATGAAAGAGCAAACCCTCTCTATTATTTCATGTGGTTCATCAATTCTCTTGCCGTTCTTTGTCTCGTTCCGTGCCAGCCATAGGGCATAGACCGCATGGATCATCGCCTCCCGCTCATATGCATGAGCTTTAGCAAACCATCCTAGCAGCCAATTTGCTAGTTCGCTCTGGGAGCCTGTGAAGCTCGGCGGGGCTGCCACCGTGACTCCCTTTTCTGAACGCAACTGGTTCCAAAACTGGACTGAATGTTGGCAAGACCAAAATCTGTGCAATGATAGTCTCCTCACGCCCACAAACAACACAGAACACTCCTGGTTTGATCCGTCGGCGTAGCAGCTCCACACCTACAGCCAAACCATTCCTTATAACTCTCCACATGTGAATCTTGGCCTTGTTCGGTGCGCTAGTATCCCAAAGGCCCAAGTATCCTTGATGTTTGTTAACTGAACTTGCTGATTCTGGCTGTCCTCTTCTAAAATGTTTTATATTTTTTTATAGAGGGAGTACATCACAGACGCTTGCACATACGCACATACACTCATCTCTATGAATGGTACGCACACCCTATCTTTATGAACACTTCCGAGAGACCGAGCCGGCACGTCATCTTGTGATTGACAAATTCACCATAGAAACCTTCATAGTCAACGGAAATGTTTACTCCTAGGCTCCTACTGAACGCACATCGCCGAAAGGCCTGAAATAAATTAAGAAAAATGCAAGCATCAGTGTCAAGTTTAGGACTTGAACACTGATGGGCTAACGGTACCACTGTCCTTCTAAATTTCCAATCACAGGTTGGTTTGCCTTTTATCTTCGGAAACACTAACGCCCACACGTGTGGGCATTATCCAACTCGTCCACACACCTCGATCGTCGTCCAGTGCCTTTTGCACGAATCTTGGCACAAAAAGGTTGATTTTGTGTGCCACGTAGGACGGTGCTGCTGTGTGGGCGTGGGAGAGTTTGCCCACCCGCTAGCACCATGTTGTTTGCCAGCTGCGCTGTGTGGGCGAACTAGTTTCTGCCCACACAACCAGCCACCTAATTCATGCGCGTGTGGGCGAACTACTTTTCGCCCACACAACACTCCTACGTTGTGGATGGCAACTGCAGTTAGACGAACGTGGCAACTAGGTAAACAGACATGTCAACTGTGATTTTTTGCTAGACGGCAATTATAGTTGCGCGTACGTGACAACCAGATAAACACACATGGCAACTAGGTAAACACATGGCAACTACTGTTTGACCATATGTGGCAAGTAGTTAATCACACACGGCAACTACGGTTCGATTACACGCGCCAATTACCATAAATTAGACATGGCAACTATAGTTAAGCAAAACAGATAGAGTTGCCATGCTTTTACAACTACATTTGCCATCCCGGATAACTACATCTGCCAACCAGGATGGAAACTACGCGGTAACCTAACGTAGTCGAGTCAAGACGTGTGAGCATTTTTGTTTCGTGCCACACGCGCGGGATGGAGATGAGTAGTACTCCCTCCGTTCCAAAATAAATGACCCAACTTTATACTAACTTTAGTACAAAGTTGGGTCATCTATTTTGGAACGGAGGGAGTACTTGTTGGCATGTGGCACGAAGCAGCCGCGCCCACACGTGTGGGCAATTCTAATATCCGCCCACACACAGCCCGTGTAGGCTGCCTCCTGCTCACACCATACATGTTATGTGGGCGCATGTCGAATATACCACACGTGTGGCAGTTATCGGCGTCCTTTATCTTTGTGTCTGATTAATCAAATGGTGTAGGAGTTAGATGCAAATCCGTTTGTCCTTTATGTCCCGTTGTAACACGCGCGGAATTAGCTAGTAGTTATATTTATAATTAAAATCTAAAAAAGAAAGAATGAAAAATAAAAGAAAACGAGCTGACTCTTCCCTACGAGTCGAGCTGCCCCCTATCCCGAGGCCCGTTACTTCCTGGCTGGGCCCATAGTCTGGCTGATATTCCGCACGAGTCGGCCACCGACCTCGATAGATAGAACGCCAGTTGCTCTAAATAAAAAGATAGAACGGCTGGGCGAGCGGCACCGCCCTCTTCGCCGGACCCTCCTGCTGGCGACGATCATCAACCAGGTGCGTCTCTGCCGTTCCCTACCCTGCCCTTTCCGCTATGCAAAACCGAGCACCCAAACCCTAATTCAAGCTATTTTGTACTTCGATTTTCTGCAAAAAATAAATAAAAAATCATCGGATGTTTGGGGATTCCACCAAAATTGCCGTGGGAACCTTCGATGGGGACCTCAACCAAAACTTTCAAAGTTAGCGTTTTGCCGCGTTGCCGTAGATAGAGTGCCGCCTGTGGCCTCGACCCCTGTTCTCCGATCTGGATTTCTGAACCTTGTGTAGCTGTGTGGCTTTGCCGGTTTTTTCGGCTAATGAAAATTCAGATTCAGGTGGCCTTTTCGCCCCCCGGTTACTTCCAAATAAAACAAAATTCAAAGTTGGTGTTTGGGGCTAAGTTCATATATCGTCCCTTAGATTGTTTGGCCTGAAAATTTTACAGCATTGCTTTACTGACTTACTGTTGATAACTCTACAGTTTGCCTCTTGCAGAAAATAAAGCTGCTTCAGTCTAAGAAAAGATGAGCAAGACTAAAAGCGGTGGCGAGGATCGCACAGGAAGGTCACATAAGAGTAGACGAGCTTGCAATAGTAAAGGAAGGGCATCCGAGCCAATGGCCTCATGTATGCTGCCTCTTCCTCTTTTATTGGCACCCCTTTGAATTGATTGATTTGTAAAAGCTTTACCACATTGCTTTACTGTTAATGAATCCACATTTTCCCCTTGTTTTTCCCCAAAAAATCATGCAGCAGTCTCGGAGAAGGTGCGGAAAAGTAAGAAGGGAACTAAGAAGGGGGGCGATGATCTCGCAAGCAGACCGGATGAGAGGGATGGTGATCTTCTCCCAAGATCACATAAGAGCACAATAGTTCGCGATGGTAAAGAAGTCGTAACCAAGTCGTTGGCATACTGGTTCTTCCTCTTTCATTAGCATTCCCTTGATTGATTTGTCAAGAGATAACATATGGGCCATGATTTTTAGAGAGAGGGTGAAAATGGGTTTGCTTGCACTGAAAAAGACCAAAATACATTTCAGTCTCCCCTGTCCAGATCTGCATGCCAATCACCAGCACCCCTGTCATGTAGGAGACCCTGACCGCGTGGCCCCACGCCTAGCCCCGGCTCCTGCTCTGGGCACGGCCATGTCATCGTCCACGTAGTATGCCACATCAGCAGACCACCCCAGGTGGGCCATTTAGATGGTTTTCAATACATCGGGGCAAAATACCTGGAACCTTGTTTTCTAGGTAAGGGGTGAAGTAGGCTAATGCCAATATTACAAATTTATACTTTTCTAGGTGAGGAGTACTTAATAACTACAGTATTCAACTAGTTTAGAACACATTCATTGTTTCAGTGCTATTGGATAGCGCAGTTACACAATGTTCTTGGGTATGTTCAAGTGGACCGACTTCTAATACTATGAATTGTTGTTGCTCGGTTGTCATCATATAATCTAATACTCCTACATCAATTATCCGCTGGATTTATGTGAATTTACTTGGCACGTGTATTAGCTAATATTTCACTGCTAATCGCTTGACCTTGTTGCACCAGTATACACATATGCTCGCTACAAGGAACAGTTTGGGGATCTAGAGTCCATGGGTTACCCTGAGCCACCAATAACCATGCCAGATGGTGAGTCGGTGCTTCTAAATTTATTAGTTATTACTGACCCTTTTTTACAGCTCTGTTGTACAACTAACAACCACATCTATCTTCCATCAGATGACATGCTTTTGGTTAATACTTTTGAGGAGACTTTTGGTGACACATACCCTGAAGGTGATTGGCTTGAATTCAGTAAAAAGGCCTCTTCCAACATAGATCGCTATGTTGTCGCGCTTGCTTCATTCAGTGGTGAGTTACAGTGAGCCGCATTACTGTGTCATGTTTGTATTTGAGCCATCACTTTGTTAACAAACCAAAAATCACACACAGGAGAGAAAAGGCATTTTGCATGCTCAGGTTTTTTTATCGAATGGAACGGATCTACGGTTATTGTGACATCGGCGAGCTTGGTCAGGAGTTCAAGTGATGAGAACAAGATTGATGAAAACTTGAGGGTTGGTCCATCCTCATCATTCTTTTTACTGATTGCCTGTTCTTTCAAATCCTTGCTTGAGTCTCACTGGATCATTTGTAGATCGAAGTGTTGCTTCCCAGGAAACAGCGCATAAAGGGCACGCTACAGCACTACAGTTTACACTACAACGTTGCTCTAGTCAGCGTCGAGGGTTGCCGTGTGTTGTGTCCAGCGATTATTCAGCGTCTTCGGTATGTGTGCTCTAAAATAGCAGCCGTAGGGCGCTGTTTCGAATCAGGCGCGCTGATGGCCGTGATCGCAGAAGAGGTCACCTGGACAGGCACGCTCGATTGCGTTTGCGTTGAACGAATCTCACGTAGAATCACCAAGGTGCGTATGCTGTTGCTGTTTCCTGCCTAGGTGGAAGTAAATTGTAGTACAGTAGTATCTATTTGGATTAGAAATTACAGCATGTCCTCCATGTCACCTTACTAGGCTGGTACGGGAGGACCCCTTGTTAATTTGGACGGGGAAGTTGTCGGCATGGACTTCTACGACACGAGGATCGGAACCCCTATCGTGATGTGGGATCATGTTCAGTGCATTCTGGAACATTTTCGTGAAAAGAGGTATGCCTGGCTAGCTTTCCTTTCTGGGCATTCAGGTGCTTGTCATACATGTTAAGTCTTTTAACGAGGTTTTAAGGGTGTTTACGTACTTACTTACCTGGGTCGAATGTCTTAAGAAGCTTTGTTGAACCAAGCAGGTTCAGTGAAGCATCATGAATGAGTCAGTTCTGTTTGTAAATCTGTTTATCGGTATGTTTTGGTTGGCAGTAAGGCTGGTGAAGTTGGGAATGACAGTGGTGAGGCTTTCTGGAAATTGGATGGGGATCCCAGCGACAGGCTAAACAGGTATGTGTTGTTATCCGATACAGTTGACACTATTAAGATATGGTTTCAATGTGCTCTTTTCTTTGGATAAATAATTATGAGATTATCACTACATACATACAGGTGGCCCGTGCCCGCGCCATGTTGGCGCAGTCGCGACGACGTGGACGCGGACAAGAAATCCGAGGAGGATGAGCTGAACCTCGAACCCCCGCCCCCCAGTGACAGTTTCGACTGGAGCTTCAATTTCTTCAATTTTTTTGAACAGGAGCCGGGCTCTAAACCCTCATCCAGCCGCAGAAGCAACGAACCCCGCAGTAACCCATACATTTACGGATACATAGATGGGGAGAGAGTTTTGCTTTCTGTTTGATAGTGCGTGTCTGCAGCATTTCGTTGCGTTGTTGGCTAGGTTTCAGTTCACAAGGATCTGCTTGTTGCTGCTAGTCTTTGCCAATGTTTCATGTAGCTGTTGTGCTTGGTCTCTTGGGATCGCAGAGTGAGTGCAACCTTGTGTAACAGATGGCGAGGACTTGGTTTATACTGAATTCGTTTATACTAGCATGCGTATTCGCGGTTGAACAAGCAGGCACATGCTTTTTTCTTATGCATTAGAGCAACTCCAACGCGCCGACGCATTCTATCCGCGGGGATCCGTTTGGGTAGAAACCGACACAAACCACGGCCCACGCGTCGACCCAAACGGACGAGCATCTATTGTCCGTGCGCAACCCATTTCGTGCCCAAATTTGAGCCTAGTTTGCGTCGGCGAGGACATGGAGTGGACGTGCGCAACGTCGGCCCTTGTCCTCCCTTTGGCCCGTCAGTCGGTGGCACGTTGACCATTCCCCCTCCTTCTCCCATCTGCAGCCGACACCCGGCCACCCCCGCCCTCGCCCAGTTCCGGGCGGTGGGACGCTACCCAGGCTATCACCCTCGCCCAGACATCTTCCCCAGCAACATGTCGCAGCCCCTGACGGCCGAACTTGCCGGTGTTGGTGGCCTGTGCAGCCGCTGCCGTAGCACCCGCCACGACCACATCAGCCCCGTCCTCCACCGCCGCCGCTGGAAACGCTCCGAGCCCGGTGCCTTCGCCCCCACTGTCGCCTCCACGCCAACATGCCTGCTGCCTAGACTGGGGGACGAGCGGTGCTCTTCGTCGGCCGACTTCTTCCACCACGCCCGCAAGGTGTTCGACGTTTCGCCCTGAAGGTACAAATGGATAGTGGAAATGAGTAATTTTTTTTTTCAACAACTTCATTTGTGATTCGGGCGATTCGTTGTTGGACGATGAGGAGATGGTGCTTGCTGCATTGGTCGTCCATGTCTCCATGACCACATTGCTAGCTAGGCAGCGGCCAATGTTTAGTGGCTCGATCCCATGCCATGTTCCGGCATTGAATCGCAACAGAGAGAGGGGCCATTACCTACTTTGGGATGACTGCGTCCGGTGATCAACTGTTCAAACACAAGTTATTCAGGCGTCGCTTCCGGATGGCTAGACATGTGTTCAATCGTATCCGGGAGACTGAGAGGGGGTTGTGGCCTATGATGATTATTTGGACTGCAAGTCGGATGCACTCGGAAAAGTTGGCTTCTCCTCTTTTCAGAAATGCACGGCAGCTATTCAGATGCTTGCATATGGAATACCCGATGATCTTATTGACGAGTACGTTCGCATGAGTGAGTCCACTTGTCTAGATTTCATGTACAAGTTCTACAAGGCAGTGGTGGCAGTGTTTGCCCTGGAGTACTTGAGAGAGCCAACTACTGTAGATACAACCCGATTGTTGGAGATCAATGCAGCTAGAGGATGTCCATCTGCTTGGCAGGGGCAGTATAAGGGCCATGTGAAAGTTTGCACTGTCATTCTTGAGGTCGTGGCTTCACAAGATCTCTGGGTTTGGCACTCTTTTTCGGTATGGCCACTCTCACGACGACATCAACGTGTTGCAGCTTTCTCCGGTGTTCTGAAGGCTTGCAGAAGACAACTTACCAGAGGTCAATGTTGAGATCAATGGCCACCACTACAACAAATGATACTACCTAGCTAATGGTATCTATCCTCAGGTGGACTACCTTTATGAAGACAATCTCCAACCCGGTAGGAGAGAAGAGGTAGAGATTTGCCTAGGCACAAGAGAGTTCCAGGAAGAATGTGGATCGTGTTTTTGGTGGTCTTCAATCTCGACGGGGCATCGTTCAAATCCTGCTAGAATTTGGAGCACCAAGAAGTTGTGGGATGTGATAACTGTTTGTGTGATCATGCACAATATGATCATAGATGACGAATGTCCGGATGAAATCTATGACCAAGGGTTTTAATTTCAGAGTGAAAATGTTGTGCCTGAGCATGGAAGAGCGGCAACGTTTGCACAGTTTATCCAATTTCATTGGGATTAATGATTGACGCGTCGAGCGTGGCAGGGAACCAAATTTTTCTTTCTACCCCAAATCAGTTTCCAGCCTTGCCAAATAGACGCGCGGTCTCCAGTCCAATTTCAGCCCGGCGATTGCGCACCCTACCTTATATATAGGCGCACACATCACATCCAATTCACAAGCAACATCTCTCTCTCTCTCTCTTTCTCTGTTCCCGTTCTGAAGTTCTGCTCTCCCCTGTTCCCCATTTCCACCTCCACTGATCCAGTAGCAATGCCGTGTCCCAAGTTGAAGAGTCTCAAGTCACTCACCGTCAACCTGGCGGCGGTGGAGCCCCGGGAGTCCAGCCGCCTGCTCCCGACGCCACGAACCCCGACGCCGTCGTATGGAAGCATCGTCACCGTCCTGAGCATCGACGGCGGGGGCGTACGCGGCATCATCCCGGGCACCATCCTCGGTTTCCTCGAAGAGAAGCTCCAGGTGAGAATTTGCTCAACTCTATGATTCCTGGCGCTGGTTCTGTTCTGACTCTTGCTGATTCCTGCTTGTGTTTGCTTCATCCATTACACGCGGCTCGTTCTGTTCTAACTGTTGCTCCTTGCGTTTGCTTCATCCATTCCGCGTCGCTGGTTCTAACTGTTGGTGTGTGCAACTGATTGCAGGAACTTGATGGACCCGAGGCCAGGGTGGCCGACTACTTCGATGTGATTGCAGGGACCAGCACCGGCGGGCTGGTGACCGCCATGCTCACCGCCCCTAATGCCGACGGCCGCCCGCTCTTCGCCGCCAAGGACATCAACGCCTTCTACCTGGAGCACTGCCCAAAGATCTTCCCTCGCGTCAGGCGCGGGCCTCTCGGCTTGCTCAAGAGCATCAAGGGGCCCAAGTACAACGGCAAATATCTGCACTCCGTCGTGCGAAAGCTGCTCGGGGAGACACGCGTGAGCCAAGCGTTGCAGAACATCGTCGTCCCTGCCTTCGACATCAAGCTGCTGCAGCCAATCATCTTCTCCAGATACGATGTAAGTTCTTCCCTCCGCTCCAAATAAACGTGTTCCATCGTTCATTTGTGTATTACATGTATGTATGTTGCCTGAGTACGTCGCAGTAACGTCGATCACCACATCTTGTGTGTGCAGGCTCAAAGCGACGTCGCCAAAGACGCCCTCCTCTCCGACGTATGCATCAGCACGTCCGCCGCGCCCACCTACCTGCCCGGCCACCACTTCGAGACCACGTACAAGCACGGCAAGCCGCGCGCATTCAATCTGATCGACGGCGGCGTCGCGGCAAACAAGCCGACGCTGCTGGCCATGACCCACGTCAGCAAGCAGATCCTCATGGGCAACAATGATTTCTTCCCCATCAAACCGGCCGACTATGGGAAGTTCCTCATCCTCTCCCTGGGCACCGGGTCGGCCAAGCTCGCGGACAAATTCGACGCAGCCCAGTGCAGCAAGTGGGGCATCTTCGGGTGGCTCTACAACAAAGGTGTGTCCCCGCTCATCGATAGTTTTTGTCAGGCAAGCGCTCACCTTGTGGACATCCACGCATCCGTGCTCTTCCAGGCGCTGCATTGCGAGAGGCGCTACCTTCGCATCCAAGATGACGATCTCAAGGGGAACACTTGCTCCGTCGACGTGGCCACGCCGGAGAACTTGGACATGCTTGTCGACGTCGGCAAGGCACTACTGAAGAAACAGGTGTGTAGAGTGGACGTCGAGACCGGAAAAAGCGTGCCGGACATGAAGAGGGGCACCAACGAGGAAGAGCTGACCCATTTCGCCCGAATGTTGTCGCATGAACGCAAGTCCAGGCTCCAAAAGAAGCAGAGCAGCGCTGCAAAGTAAACCTTGGCTAGGACCTGGGATTTGAGGCTAGCTAGGATATACATGCATGTCAAATGATATGAACTGTTGGTATGGTATTTACTGATTTTCCCCATGTATATATACATGTACCGATACAGAGAAGGTGTGTCGGGATATTCTTTTACATTTATTCATTAACTAGGATGAGTGATTCCCATTATATACACATGGGGAAAATCAGGGCATAATATATGTTTCCCACAAAAAAAACAGGGCATATGTATTATCTTCATGAAACTTTATACGCACATACAAGACACGAACACACACATTGTCAGATAAATTCAGAACTTTTAACTATTTTAACAATTTTAATGTTCATCCCTGGATCACATGCCCTGGGAGCAAAATCACCTCCCCCAATTATTCCTCTTTTAACTTACTAAATAAATTGCACGATTTTCTCGTAAACAAATGTTTAGTTTCCACTGCAATTTTTCACATATGGAGTCTCCTTTTGTATTTCATCAGTATAAATGATACACACAACTTAGTCATTTCCCCCACAAACTAATACATTTATGTAATTGCAAACTCTCCGATTTCTTTCTAGGAGTAATTTGCCACGTATAGATATATATACTGTAAACTATGCTGGGACAGCAATGGCTCCCTAAAACCATGAGCACAATTCCCAGACTGTACAACATCTTAACAGTGGACATTCCAAATTTCCATTTTTTTCAGCAGAGGAATAAGCAAGGATATAAATTTTGGGAAATATATACTTCTAACTAACTGGGTGCTTGTCTCCATGCTATTGCTCCTTTCCAGAACTCTCCTTGATCTTCTCGACAATATGCCGCGTCTTTTCTTCCAATTTGCCGCTCATCTTCCTCCCCAAACCGATCACCGCAGCTCGCTTGCTGCCTTTCCTCTTCAGGTCATACTCCCCAGGAGAAGCAGAGGATGACAATGGCGGCCGCCGATGCCCAGCAGGTACCACCGCTACTACCTGAAGAGAAGAGCCCGCTGCTGCATTTTCAGAAGCATCTTCCTCGAATTCCCTGGTGCTCAGCAGCGGCGCCATCAACTGGTTAGAAGGTTCAGCTTCTGAAGGAAGGGAAGAACCAGAGCTGGTTGATGCTTCTGTTGTGGGTTCTTGGTTAGGCCAACGAGT